AGACATTCATTGTAGAACATTCATGGTTCTACATACATGTATTGGTTTAATTTAAACATGAAAGCCACATGTTTCATGTGGTAAGTTTTGAATGAAAACTTCGGGTTTCAAAGGTACTAAATATGAAACTACAGGTTTAATTTAGTTTTATGAATGAATAGTTCATAACAGAGATGTTCCTGCAAGAACATAGAATGCAATATGCTGATTTAAATGTAGTGGATTTTAGTTGCTTTGGGAATTCAAGTGTGAGAGCTTCAGGACTACGAAAGGATGTCAACGGTTCAAAGTAGAAAAATAAATTATTGAGTAAGTGTCCAAAAGTGATGTTCAGGTCAATAATTTTGGATTAATTATCATATTAATGGACTGCATATCACTTTTAATTAATTCAATAGATTGAGACCAAACGGGGTAGATCGTGGAAGCAATATAATGACAGATGGGTCATATTAGGCTCGATTGGTGATATACCAAGTGATAATTATATTAGAATTAATTGGCGTGCCCCAAAGCACCCAAAAAAAATTATTTAGGTATGAGTTATAATGCGGGCATGCCAAAAATTAACATTGGGTCAAAAGTAAGGATGTGGCCCAACAAAAAAAAGGGGCTGGTAACGGTGCGTGGACAGGCCCTGCAGTTCTGTTGCAGGTCATTGGTCCTCAGGAGGGCTACATGCTATTGGGTCGTGTGGTCTGTGTGAGCTCAGAAGCAAGTGCCACTGGTTTGGGCCAAAAACAAGGCATGAGTGTAGGCCCAACGTTGCTAGCCTGTGGTTTGGTGAGGGGAAGCCCAACCGAGGCTGGGTTTCAAGTTTTTGGACCGGAACAAGTTAAGCCCTGTAGCAAAAGTTGCTGGTGACTTGGGCCGAAGCTAGGGGGAAGCCTATCAAGCAACAGTTGCTGCGGGTAGGCTTGGGCATGGGCCATGAAAGGCCCAACAGCTATGGGCTGCTAGAGTTAGGCCAAGGAAGCTTCAGGCCTTTTCGGTTTGGGCTAGGGGCTTCAGGCCTGTGATTACCTCATTAGGCCTAGGGCCTGGGTTGTTTGGCGTAAGCAGCAAAGTCCAAAGGGCTGCTGTCGTGTGGTCCATGGCTTCAAATGATGATGTTCCTATGTTTGCTCCATGCGGTTAGGCTACAGGCCAGCTGGAGTGGTCGGCAATGGTGCCTACAGCTGCTTGGCGGAAAGTAGCAGCCATGCTGTATAATTGATAGGAGCATATTTAGGCGACTTACTTAGCTTGTTTTCGTGCATCTATGTTGTTAATTCATAGTTATTTTAGTCATTTATGCTTCTTTTGTGTGTTTTCAGGTTCTAAGGGCTTAGGGAGCAAGAAAGTGCATTTTGAGGCTATTTGGAGCATTTTTGTGCATGGATTGGATATCATATGCTTGGAGCCAAGAGGATGGACGAAATTAAAGACTTGAAGTAGGAAAGTTAAATCCTAAAAGACCTCATGTTTAAGCATCATTGAAGACTCCTACGTATTTTAGAACACAAAAACAACATTCCTTGCAACCTTAGGACATTATCGTGTGTTTCCTTGTGTCTCCCTTCCTTGCCATGCAAGGAAAGGCTTTGTTCCCTATTTTAAATACTTAAAGCATTCACTTATCATATCATTCACTTAACATATCATTCAATTATCATATCATTCACTTATCATATCATACACTTATCACTTATCACTTCCAATCACTTATCACTTCCATTCACTTATCACTCACCACATATTATTCATTTATCACTTAACATATCATTCACTTATCACTTATCATAACCACTCACTTATCACTTATCATACTCATAATCATCTACACATTTCCACCATTTAAACATATGCATTTCAACTCACATGCACACCCACCTCTTTCCACTTAATCCACATGCTTTCATAACTTAAAACACATGCACATGCACCACTAATTCCTTCATCATTCAAACACACTCTCCCATTCTCCCTTGTGCCGTGCATTCCCCCTAATTCCATCCTACATTCCACAAACAAGTCACATGCATTACACCCCACATCCCTTTAATCCTTCAAACATGCATCCATAATCATTTCTTCATCCTTGCACATGCATTTCCCCCTTTAAACAATCCCATACCTTGACATTATTCTTTCATCAACCATCACACTTCATCATTGCAACCATTTCACCCTAATTGTCAATCACATACTTTTCCATTGTATAATTCATTCACATGCATCTTTAATCATGCTTTCACAAGCTTTCACAAACAACCATTCACCCTTGCCGTGCAAATTCCCTAACATTTCCAGCTTTTCTTCATCATTATCCCCCCTACATTCCACCTAATCCACATGCTTTCCCATTTCATTATTCATTCAATTTGCATTCATTCAATTCAGCAACATGCATTTATTCTTTCATCATTGCACCACCAATGCAACACATGCATACACACACCAACAACATCTTCATTGCCGTGCATTACATATCCATCCTAGCAGCCAATTCTATCCCATGCCGTGTATCCCATCCCTTTTCCAACCCACATGCCCCTTTAATCATTCAAACATGCACCCTTTATTCCTTCATCATTCATCACACATCCCTTGGCATGCAAAACAGCACCCATTTCAGCACCATTCCCCCAAACCCGTGCATACACAAACCATCCCTTTTACATCCACACATGCTAACATATGCATTTCCAGCTTTCCCTTTTATTTCCACATGCAATTCTTCATCATTGCAGCCACAAACACCTTAAACAAATAGCCATATACATCTCCACTCCACCTATAAATACCCTTGCATTCATTCATTCACATATCATCTCATTCACAACACAACACAACACCACAAACACATCCACCTTCCTTAGCCGTGAGTCTCCCTTAGAATCCAAAAACCATCTTCCATTTCCACCACTCCTCATCCATTTCCATAATTTCCCAACACTTCCATCCCCCCAACCAACTATCCCTAGACCTTATGCTACAATAAAGAGGAAGATAAGAGGGCCTAAACGTTCATACAATTCAAGATTGAGTTGTTGGAATATTTAGGCGTTTCTTTGATTTCAATGTTTAATTTCAATTCTCTTTGTTTTGTACGTATGAGGAACTAAACCCCCCTTAGCTAGGGGGTGATTCGAAATATATGTTTATGCTTGCAATATGATTTGATTACTTTTAATTACGTTTCATAAGTTGTGAATTCAATTTGTTTAACTATTTGATTGATATCCTATTTATGTATGTTTATTAAGAATGAACGCTTAATTTTCATGCATGAATTTGACGCTAGAATATAAGTGAGTTTTACGTAATAGTTATGAACTTATATTCACAAGTAGTGGAGGTTGCTTATAAACAATCGCGTTAAACAAATTCTTGGCATAAGTTTCATGCAATCATAGTAACGAATGCCTCGTCAACACTTATAGTTTTCAATGTGCTTAATGATTCTTGCTTGTATCTCTATTATGCAATTCATGTAGGGAACTTGTGAGGAATGCTTTGGGTTGTCGTATGCAATCATCCAATTCATTAACTTAAGGAAAACTTGACGGTTAATTAAAGCGGACCTAATTAACCTGGGGCGTTGAGAATTCATGGTTTATTGAAATACAACTAGAAATCTTTTTATTATGCAAGTGTAACATGTGTGGAGATGAACCCCTTGGCTAGCATCCATTCATTCCATTTCATCAATTTCATATTTACATTCTATTTAGTTTATTTACTTGTTTCGTTATTTCAATTTTTGTCCAAATCCAATCCCCCTTTATTTTGTTTAAGTCTTAGTCTTTCTTACTTTTAGTTTTGTATTCTTCGCATTGTTTTTACGTTTTTGAGTCAATCATGTTAAATCCTCCATCGGTAGGATCCCACTTTTCATCAATTGACAAAAAGGGGTTAAAGTGTGCGCATATGCTCAATAATTCCTAATTTTATTTATTTATTACTTTTTTCTTCTACTTTTCTAGGGTTTTAAGAACCCTAAATTGCTTCTAATTTATTTATATGCTTTGACTTACAAATTCCACATAGAAAAATAATTGTGTAATGCATGAAGCGTATATATATTGATAAATATATGAATCATATACAATATATATATCGGAAGGAAAATATAAATATAGGGGGTTCATGCATCATGGGAAATGTTTTCATGCTTCGTGGATGTTGCAAATATCTTACTTTATTTTAAGCGTACCTAATTAGCAGAAAACAAATAAAAACCTTTGAATTTTGTAGAAGAAAGCCTCCTCCTACGATCCTTCAGTTCCTTAGCTTCTGGCAAGAGCATATTGATAATGTGTTGTAATCCTATTTGACTGAATTGTATTTAGGACAAGAGAGGGAGAGAGGATGGCGGCAAGAGCGAGAGAAGAGAGAGATTTAATTGTTTGGTATGTGTTGTATCACCCTATTGTGCCTTTATTTATAGTAGTAGGATAGGTTAAATTCTTACCAATATAGGACTACAACTCTAATATGATAATATCTACTAAGGAGAATATTCCAAGATGTCCCTAGATACACTAGGATTTACACAATCACATTCCTATTCTAAATATCACTACAACAAGTTAGACTTTGCCACTAGGATTTGGAAAGAGAAACTTTCTCTCTTTCTTCTTCGTTGAAACTAGAACGGCCATAGAGGAACGACAGAAACAGACCTGGATTTGGATGGACAAAAAGCCCAAGTGAATGCATGGGCGCGCCTCAGCTGCCTCGGCACACCCCAATGCCACCGTACACCACCCCCACAAAACAGAGGCGAAAACCCAGAAGCCCCGCCTCCAAGGGCACCTAGGCCAGCCCCGAGGCTAGTTTTTTAAAACACTGCTTAGAATGCTCTTAACCAAGTATAAACTCCTCGGATTTCAATTTGTATTTTTCATCCACATTATAGCGAATCTCATCTCATTTTATATCACATTAGTGTTGTTAGATATCGCAATCACATGATTCAATGCATGTATAACGATTAGAATATGAATCTTTCATCTTCACAGAGTCACAGCTTTAAGTTGGGTTTGCTCAAAATCGAAAACCTCAAACATGAGGCGTCCTACATGCGAGGCCATGAAGGGCTTGTTGAACAGCAGCATGAACTGGGTCGGGAAAGATGAGAAACTGATGGAGACGCTTCTCTCTTAAATACCTCCCGCAGAATTTGTTCATGAGAACACGGCGATATCTCTCTGCTAGCCACTTTCCAGGAGCATCTAAATCTTTAATCAACAACCTTTCCGCCATCACAACCACAGAACTGTCAACACATCTAATTGGTACAGGAAAAGAAAAATACGAGGTCTGCTACACAATTGGCCAACATATTCTGATGGCTCGTAAGAAAATCGAGGATGCTCAAATTTGTGCTTCGACGGATGCAAGAAAGATAGCTGAATGCAAATAAGAAAGCAAATAATACATAAAGATGCAGGGCCTGAACAGACTATAAACACTAACAAATACGTGTAAGTATTTTGAATAGAGCATAACAGACATAACCTATCCACATTTGGTAGTTCTAAAATCTTGGGATAGGATGATCCGCCCTAGTAAACTTTGAGTGTGAGAGAACAAATACTAGCTAGAAATCTGGCAACACATATGGAAATGGTAACATAGCACGTCGGCATGTTGCCTTTGTCTTCTCTTATTTTACTTCAACCTTTTCCAGATTATTCACTACGTTATATTACGATTAGCTTAAATACAATTGCATATTGCAGGGAAATGCACATATAGAGATGGACAGTGAGGGAAACACCTGTAGCTTAAGTCCAAGTTCGATGTTCCTCGCTACAGTAATATCTGGAATTCTATCAGTCATTGCCAAGGGATATCCCAATGTCCGCATGACTTTAGGTCGGCTTTCATAATCCCATACATTTCCTTCAGAACCGATGCATATCTGGTGGAACACAAGCCCTAAAGAGCCTTGGATGTGCAAAAACTGGGGCTGTAGATACTTCGGAGCTTTGATAGTTACGTCCCATATAATGCATATGACCAATTTTAAGGGTATACAAGTCAACAAAATGTTGCATCTATAAGAAAAATTTGTAAATACTTGGAGCTTTGATAGTTGAGTTAAGAGAAAATTTGAATAGGAATTGAAATTTACACATTTATATCATTTCTCCAAATTCTGAGGCTTCTATTGTACAAAACGGAGGAAAATACCTTAATATGACGGAATAACTGAAATTACAAACTAAAACTTTAAGGGGCTCATAACTGAAATGAAAATTCAGAGGGCACAATGAAACTAGGCTTATAATTCTTGGGCATTGCCGACAAAGAAATGCTCTATAGTCGTAGGAGGTGGCGATGTAAGTCAGTCAGTGTGCCAAAATTAACATTCTTTGTCACAGGCAATTCACCAAACATCAAAATCGGATTATTGGAGACTTGGAGTTGTTATTCTTTTGCACGAGTTGAGTCCAAGTTCTGCGTTGGTCAGCGCAGTAAACTTGATTGCTTGGATAGAATGAAAGGACTGCTTTGGATAGAACAATGATCCAAACAAAACTTGACAAGGATAATGTTGGTCATCAGTCGATGTAATACAATCCTTTTCTTTGATATTTTATCATATCATGATCTAATTAGGCAGCAGTCAATGTAATACGATTGTTTTCTTTGCTAGTTTTGTCATGTCGTACCCGAAAGGAAAAAATAAAAAGAATAAACAAATTAGGGTTTAGGGTTGAATATCGCATTGAACCTTGAAGGTTGTATGAAGCAGCTGCTATTTAGTAGTTTATTTTGCATTTGGACTTAACAGAAATTCTTTGTGCAGTTAGTCCTTTTTCTGTTAAAGAAGTTTTAACTATTTATAATGTCAATACTGGTATATCCTTACTGCCAATATCAATGGCATTCACGTCGGTAAGTTTGCAGCTGAAAATTGTCCGTCCTTTAATAGAGAACGAACTTCATCTTCAGAGAAGAGCTGTTTGGATTATCTACATACAAGAGTAGCATGACATAAATGAATACAGACAATAAAGAAAGCATGAACTGATTCATCACATTGTAGTTTAGTGACTCCATCTCCATGGTTCAGTATTCTAATGATCCCGTGTGCGTTTTACTCAATAAACAGTAGCAGAATGAATTCAATCTGCTGATCAATTACTGAGTCAGATCTCTCTCTCTCTCTCTCTTTCTCTCTCTCTCTCTCTCTACTTCTTCCTAAAAGATTCATCTACTTCTCACATGCGATGGGGCCGTCACTTGTATATATGGTCTTACTCACAATTGATGGTGTTTCTTTTGTGGCTAAACTTCCCCAGTCAGTTATGTGCGGTCTTACTCACAATTGATGGTGTTTCTTTTGTGGCTAAAACTAGCAGGCATTTTCAACGACACCAATCAACAAGGACACATGCATCTTGGTAAGTAGTGACAGGTCCAAAACAGCATAAACCCCAGACGACAAGTTTTTCCTGTAAGGTACAAATAAAAACCCATCTGGAATCTTAAATACAGTAATGCTTCTGAAAATTATTGCCTTTATCGTATATAGCTCTTACAGTAGCAAGAAACTTTCTTGCACCCGCTACATGCATTCAAATGTTAGACACTTGTTTTATGCAACAGGTGCTGGAAAGTTTTCTTATGTGTAGTGTATGGTCATAATTCATATGACTGTTGAAGAATCTAAAATCCTCAAATTGGAAAATTTGGTCGAGTTAAATACAACTTATTCCATGGTTTCACCATTATCGATGTCTTTTGTGTAAAACTTCACACTTATTGAATTGTACAATTTAAATTAACTGATTAAGTTGGAGACAATACGGATGTTGATTAATAGTGGGTTATTGGACAGACTCTAAAACATTAACATGTTAACTTACATGTTGTCCTTTGGAGAAATTTCTTGCATCCATCACTGGCTGGACTGACTCTAAAACTTCCAATGATCACATCTATTAGTAGGTGCTGACTATGAAAATTCCCATAGAATTTTATTTATTTGTCCTCTACCCACACTCAAAAAAATTGTTGAATGAAATGAGATGCTCCTATTATATTGTAAATCACACCACCTTTTATCTTCATAATGAAAGCATTTTAGGCTCCTAGCTGCTGCATATACCATGACTAGATGTGATCTAAATTCTAATATTGTAATTTCAGATTTGCTGGCAGATACTACAAATAGAAACAGAGAAAAAAAAAAAGGAAAGCTAGAGGCCAAGGATTGTTTTGCTATAAAAACCAAAGAGAAGCTGGGTGCAGCTGGGTAGGCTGATTGAGGGCCCATCAATGACTTTATTTTCTGCATTATTTGATCTCAGAATCCAATGAAATTAAAGAGGGGGGTGGGGGGGGGGGGGGGGGGGGTGGTGTTGCAATTATTCCAGAGAGATTGAGATCAATGTTTTGATTTGGTGCCTAATGATCCATCACCACGGTGAAAGGCTCTCTTCATTGGCAAGATGTGAAGGCACATTCTATGTGGAGCCATTTGATGTCTGTAGGTTCTGTTCTTTCCTTTAAGTTTTCAAGCATCATTTATTGCTGAGGAAATTTAGTGAACTCAAGTCACTCTCTATGCAAACTGAGTATTTTCATTACAAATACTCTCAAATCTGATGTTTGTATCCCGTAGAAGAAGTAGGTGACTGTGGGACATATATTAGGCTTTCTTCTGCTAAATTTACCAGGAATGGAAAAATAAAGAGGTTCTGTCACTTTCTCTCAGATACTGTTTAGGAATTACAGGTTTTTGACAGTGAGGGTTCATATTGTAAAGGTTCTATTCTTTTATCAGCATGTAAAAGAAAAGAACGAAAATGGAAAAAAAACAGATTTTAGTTGTGACCTATGCGTGCAGTCATACTGGAAAATCATTGTAGCACTGAAATACAGTCGCGCGATATAACGAATTTATTGTTACATGAGATAGATGGATGACAAGTTTATGCTTTAGATATATAGTACTAATGTCAATCCACTTGTTATAACATGACGCATAGGTTATACCACGTAAAATCTTTAGATAAACTTTTCATATAGGAAAATTGTTGTAATACTGAAATGTAATCATGTGATATAACCAATTTACACATCATATGAGATAGGTGAAAGACGAGCTTATCCTTTAGAGTATGTTAATTATCAATTCATCTGTTATAGCATGACTGAGTTGATTATACCATGTAAAGCCTCCAAATAACCATTAATAATTATTCTTCTATGGCAATCTAGGTTTTATCAAGAAAAAGCCCCAACAAAAGCCAATATATATGTTAGGCAAGTAACCCTACTGATTCATCCATTGATATGAAAGGCATGTTACTATTGACCTCGTGAATTTTGAAGAAGAAATAAAGCATAGAAAAAGAAAGGGTTTACGAAGATGAGGCACCTTTTTTGTGGATGGGAATGTTTCTTCTCCCACGTCCCACGTTGATTTCACACCGTTGGCTGCCACTAAAAACATGAAAAAGCCATCTCATCCTCTCGACCCAACTTCCCCATGCCCATACACCACACACACCATAACCCCTACATCTTTTTCTTTTTCTTTTACCCATCTTGCCTCCCAATAATATCACAAATGCCACTCGTTCAGTTCCCTCCTCCTACCCCTTGACTTGTATTCACTCTCTAGTTTCTCTGCCCAAAGAGGAAGGCATTTTGGGTAATTCATTAAGTCTGATGATTACTTGTGAGGGTTGAAGCTGGATAACGCAGGTTTATCATTAGAGCTTCGATATTTTCTGTTCTTATTATTGCAGAATGATTGTTTCCCTTCTTTATATATTCAAGTAAGTTTGAATGATAAAGGTCAAAACGAAACAAAAACGTACTGAAAACAGCGTACGTAGGGTTTTTGCTTCACTACAGTAAAATTGCAGCAGCTCAATCTTTCTCTCTCCTCTCTCTCTCTCTTTCTCTCTGCAATTATTTGATGTACTATATGATGGAGATGGAGAACTGAACATGATAAACATTCAACTGTTGCTTCCATGGCGGATATCAAACGTGGCGAGGAGAGTACTGCACCCACTACCACCACTACCACTGCCAACATGTCCTCTAAGAAGAAGGAGCTTCTTTCTTCTGCCTTGAAGAGAACTAGTGAATGGTTTGCTTCTATCTTTTCCTTTCTCTCTTTAATTGGTTCAGTGTGTTTTTTCTTTATTCCTGTTTTTGATACAAGTGATGTTTGGGGAAAGTTATTCAAAAACAGGGCAGATATAAACGCTCTCTGCTCATGAAATA